TTTTTATGTTTAGTATTGTTTTGTAAATTAAATATCGTTTGAATATATTCTGGGTCGAAAAGGGGCAGACAAAATAAGATTTATTCTTCTTCTGCTACCTTTGATTTTATTTTGATTTGTATTTTATTTTTTTGGTTTTGGTTTATTTTTATTATTGTATATAGTATTTTTTAATGAAATGAATAAATTTTTGAATTGAATTGAATTGAATTGAATTAAATCTATCCGTGCACATCACGTCACTCAATCTAAGCAGTGAAATTGCTACCTGGAGCCAGTTATTCAGAAGGCTGCTCCAACAATAACATTAGCTTGCTAATGCGCATAGCGGTGCTGCGAGGAAAAGTGTCCCCCGTGAAACAGTTCACTGGCGGGCACGACGTAACGTTCCGAACATGTTTAGGCTACTTAAATCGCTATGTCTGTATTCAGAAAATTCATATCATAACAAGGATAAAAACTGGTTTTTGAAACAGTATATTGCCCATTTTTGTTAGCTGTGGCAGCCATCTTGAAACGAGTTATTAGCTGAGCTATCCACTATAAAGAGACTCATCCAGTAGACTCACCATGTCTGGGCAGTGGGGTGGAGGGGGGTTATAGGAGGGGTCTACGTGAGGACCAGGGTCCTGCCACTCGGCCTCCTCATGCAGTCAGGAGCCTCTCAGCTGTCAGCCTCTCGAGTCGTACTGTAGAGAAAACAAAACATGATTCAGGAACAAAAATCACCACCTGCACCAAACATGGTTTCCACACAAACCTTCGTATGACATGTCGGTGAACCTGTTTCTGCAGTGATATAAGTTTAATCTTTTCATTTGTACAATTTATTGCCTATGATGTGGGTGATCCAGGATTTAAAGCTTACTCTAAGCCGTTCTGAATAAACATCAGCTAAATGCTTCAAATGAGGCCCTGCTTTACGAGCCGAAAAAAAAAATTAATCCCACATATCAAACCACTAGCCATTGTGCTTCATGCATCACAAGTAGTAGTGTTGTTTCTCACCGCCCCAAGAAAAATAGAAAAGACTGAGCAACTTATTTTTTTCTGTGGAAATAAAAGCAAACTGCAGAGCCTAAACAAAAACAATTACAACTTTGTCATTCCTAAACACAAGAGAGGATCTCAGTTGAGACTTTGACATGAAAAGCTTCACGTTTAGTAAAAACAGTCATTAACACCAGCTTACATTGTTTTTCAGACCACTTTCATCTCGTTTGAGTGAAACTGCTTTATGCCATCTGACCACAGACTCACACAAACACATTAATTCTATTACTCTGATGATCTTCTCACCATTAAACACATTAGCTGAAGCTGCAGCTTCTGCCCACGTGGTGAAATGCTGATGAGGTGGAGGGGAAGTGGCAGCGCTGCTGTTAGAGCGTCCCAGAGGGGACGGGCGGGGTCGAACGCAGCATCAGTTTGAATCCTCTGGTTCTCTTGACCTTGCCCTTAGTGATGCTTTTCTTTTTTACTTACATTTAGTTTCCCGTTCTGTTTGTCTTTCTGTGTGTTTAAACAGCCACTGAAATGAGCTCACAACTAAAACTGTGAAATGTAGATTAAAACGAGGCAAAAACAGAACTGCGGTTTCTGCTTTTCACCAACGTCATTTCTTAGTCCAGTCTCAGATTTGAAACAGAACTTCGAAATTTTTACAGCTCCACAGTGAGTGAGGAAGTAGAGTCCAAGAAAGTAACACTATGAGATGTCTATTTAAGATAAGAGTAAATAATAATAATAATAATAATAAAAGCTGTTTATGTTGCAGGATGGAGGCTGATGATGCATCTCTGCTCTTATCCGGTTCACACGTTCCTGGTAGGAAAATGTAACTCGACAGCCTTTCAATGATGCATTAGTGAGTGGGAAAAAGATGGAGGACAAAGGAAGGTGAGCTGGTTCTAATGGCAGGCGGGGTGGTAAGTATTGGATTACTTACAGCTAGCAAAGTGAGACATAAAAAAATCCAATTTTACTCCTTCTGTCCTGCTGAGCCACATTAAAGCTTTTTATAAGTTCTTGTAAGCTATGATCAGTACTGGATAGCAATGCATTATAAAACCTGTTATATAGCTGGTAAGTTAACAGGTAACTCAGCAGGTAACAAGTTGGTGAGTAACAGGTAAGCTACAGGTATGTACCCTGTACTGCTGTACTGCATACATAAAACATACTGATACAGACAGGTGTTTAGGTAGGATTTTGGAGAAGTGTGTCAACAATTTACTCTTTGTGTCTTCCTCTGGCTTCATACCAAACCTGCGGTCAGCCCCTCTGCTGCTTACGTTGTTAATGGAAGTTTATTACGACTGGATCAGAAATGGTAAAAAACACACAACAGCTACTGAACATTGCTACCGCTAAATGCAGTTGGCCCCTCTGCTCCACAAAGGCTGCGTGTGCAGCGCTCCATTCAGATAGTTTGTTTGTCCGACAAGCTTTTGCTCTCCTATTTATAGCCAAGGTTCCCACACCTTGGTCAACATCTTAGGCCTTTCAAGGACTTTCCAGTACAATTTCCTCAAATTAAAGAACCACGCGCAACGGCAATTACCTCCTGCTAACTCAGAATGTTGCCAATAAACAGGTTTAATTTCATGTAAATTCAATGAAAAATTTAACATAGAAGTTGTTGAGTCAGAAACAGTGACTTCAGTTTACCATAATCCTTATGCTGCGTTCACACCGAACGCGATTTCAGCTTCAAAATCGCATCCAACGCTTCAAGTTGGACGCTTGTGCTCTTTGAGGTCAGACGCAGGTCAGCTCTTGAAGCGCTGCACGGCAAGAGCCTCCCCGCCCCTCCCTCCTCTGTCGGGCTCTGTTTAATGTCGGACGAGGAAGTG